CAGCACAGATTTCCTCAGAAATTTCGACTGTTGGAGCTTTAGTTATGTCAGAATTGAAAGGGGAAAGATTGGAATGCTACAAATGTGATAAGGCTAAATACGTACATATTTTCAAAGTCAAAGGTAGAGCAAGGAAAAGACTCAATACCTCTGAAAATAAATGGCTGAATATCTAAATACCTACATAATTTGAATCATTGATTACTTACCAACCAATTTCTTGGAAAATTCAGAATTGTCGGCCCTTCAGTTATGTTAGAATTCAGATGGGAAAACGTCAAAATGTACCAAACGAGATTGGGTGAAGTATGTAGGAATTTTCAAAGTTTTGGGTGGAAATAGGAAAAGACTCAATACCTCTCAAACTGAAAGACAAAATATCTAAATACCCTCTTGATTTGAAGCATGGGCTATTAGGGAACATTCGAATGTTCTTTAAAAATTTAGAGTGTTGGGGGTTTAGATATGTCGGAATTGAAAGTGGAAAAGATTGGAATACTTCAAATGCAATTAGGTGAAATGTGTACAAATTGGCAAAATTAAGGGGAAAGGGAAAAACATACAAATTTTCACAAAGTTAAGGGTATAGAAGAGAAAAGATTCAATACCTCTCAAACTATAAGACTAAATATCTCCTTGATTTACAACATGGACAATTTAGGAACAGATTTCTTTAAAAATTTCAACTGTTGGAGCTTTAGATACATGTATGTCAAAATTGAGAGGGGAAAAGATCGAAATGATACAAATGTGATAAGGTGAAATATGTACATATTTTAAAAGTTAAGGGTAGAGCAACGAAAAGACTCAATACTTCTCTAGCTGAAAGTCCAAATATCTAAATACCTCTTTAATTTACATTGTGGACTATTCAGTACAGATTTCTTCAGAAATTTCATATGTTGGAGCTTTAGTTACGTCAGAATTGAGAGGGGAAAAGATCAGAATGCTACAAATGTGATAACGTGAAATATGTACACATTTTCAATGTCAAAGGTAGAGCAAGGAAAAGACTCAACACATCTCAAACTAAATGGCGGAATATCTAAATACCTATATGATTTTAATAATTGAATACTTAAGAAACTAATTTCTTGGAAAATTTAGCATTTTCGCACCTTCAGTTATGTTAAATTCAGATGGGAATACATCGGAATGCACCAAATAAGATGGGGTGAAATATGAACGAATTTTCAAAGTTAGGGGTAGAAACACAAAAAGACTCAATACCTCTCAATCTAAAAGGCCAAATATCTAAATACCTCCTTGATTTGAAGCATGGACTATTAGGGAACAGATTTCTTTAAAAATTTAGGTTGTCGAACCTTCAGTTATGTCGGCATTGAGAGGGGAAAAAATCGGAATACTGCATATGCAATGAGGTGAAATATGTACAAATTTGCAAAATTAATGGGTAAAGCAATGAAAAGATTCGATACTTATCTAGTTAAATGGCAAATATCTAAATACCTGCTGAATTTGAGACATGCACTATTAAGGAACAGATTTCTTGAAAATTTTAGACTATTGGAGCTTTAGTTATGTAGGAATTGAGAGGGGAAAAGATCGGAATACTGCAAATGCGATTAGGTGAATAATATAATTACTTACCAACTGATTTCTTGGAAAATTTTAGATTTTTGCACCTTCAGTTATGTTAAATTCAGATGGGAAAACATCGGAATGCCCTAAATGAGATGGGTGAAATATGAACGAATTTTCAAAGTTAAGGGTAGAAACACTTAAAGACTCAATACCTCTTAAACTAAATAGCTGAATATCTAAAAACCTACATCATCTGAATTATTGATTACTTACCAACTGATTTCTTGGAAAATTTAGCATTTTCGGACTTTCAGTTATGTTAGAATTCAGATGGGAAATCATCTGAATGCACCAATGCATCTTTCCCCTCATGAGGTGAAATATGTACAATTTTTTTAAGTTAAGGGTAGAGCAAGGAAAAACTCAATACTTCTCAAATTAAAAGTCCAAATATCTACATGTAAATACCTCCTTGATTTGAAGCATGGACTATTAACAAACAGATTTCTTGAAAATTGTAAACTGTTTTATTAGAATTAGTTATGTAGGAATTGAGAAGGGAAAAGATTGGAATACTGCAAATGTGATTAGGTGAAATATGTACAAATTCTCAAAGTTAAGGGTAGAGCAGCAAAAAGACTCAATATCTCTCAAACTAAATGGCTGAATACACAATACACAATTTGAATCATTGATTAGTTACCAACTAATGTTTGGGGAAATTTACCATTTTCGGACCTTCAGTTATGTTACAATTCAGATGGGAAAACATCAGAATGCACCAAATGAGATGGGCTGAAATATTCAAAGCTAAGGGTAGAAACACAAAAAGAATAAATACTTCTCAAACTAAATACCTCCTTGATTTGAAGCATGGGCCATTAGGGAACAGATTTCTCTAAAAATATAGTGTTTGAGCTTTAGAGATGTCGGAATTGAGAGGGGAAAAAATCAGAATACTGCATATGCAATGAGGTGAAATATGTACAAATTTTCGAAATTAAGGGAAAAGCAATGAAAAGACTCAAAAATTATCTAGCTAAATGGCCAAATATCTATATACCTGCTGAACTTCAAACATGGACTATTAAGGAATAGATTTCTTGAAAACTTTAGATTGTTGAGGCTTTACTAATGTCAGAATTGAGAGGGGAAAATATCGGAATGATAGAAATGTGATAACGTGAAATATGTACAAATTTTCAAAGTCAAGGGTAGAGTAACGAAAAGACTCAATACTTACCTAACTAGATTGCCAAGTGTCTATATACGTGCACGATTTGAACAGTTGACCATTAAGGATCTAATTTTTTGGAAACTTAAAATTTTTGGACCTTCATTTCTGTTAAAAATCACAGATGAAACCATAGCAATGCAGCAACTCAGATGGGGTGAAATACATGTATGTACATGTAGGTATTTTCAAAGTTAAGGATAGAGCAAAGAAAAGACTCAATACCTCTCAAACTGAAAGTCCAAATATTGCAATACCTCCTTGATTTACAACTTGGACTAGTCAGCACAGATTTCTTCAGAAATTTCAACTGTTGGAGATTTTGTTATGTCAGAATTGAGAGGGGAAATGATCGGAATGCTACAAATATAATAAACGTGAACTATTCAGAAAGAGATTTCTTTAAAAGTTTAGAGTGTTGGAGCTTTAGTTATGTTAGACTTCAGATGGAAAACATCTGAATGCATCAATGCATTTTTCCCCTCATGAGGTGAAATATGTACAAATTTTTAAAGTTAAGGGTAGAGCAAGGAAAAACTCAATACTTCTCAAATTAAAAGTCCAAATATCTAAATGTAAATACCTCCTTGATTTGAAGCATGGGCTATTGGGGAACAGGTTCCCCAAAAATTTAGTGTTGAAGCTTTAGTTGGAATTGAAAGGGGAAAGGATCGGAATACTGCAAATGCGATTAGGTGAAATAGGTACAAATTGGCAAAATTCAGGGAAAAGCCACAAATGTACAAATTTTCAAAGTTAAGGATAGAGCGGAGAAAGACTCAATAGGTGAAATATTTACAAATTTACAAAATTAAGGGAAAAGCAATCAATAGACTCGATACCTATCTAGCTAAATGGCCAAATATCTATATACCTGCTGAACTTCAAGTATGGACTATTAAGGAACAGATTACTTGAAGATTTTAGACTGTTGGAGCTTTGGTTATGTAGGAATTGGGAGGGGGAAAAATCGGAATACTGCATATGCGATGAGGTGAAATATGTACACATTTTCAAAGTTAAGGGTAGAGCAACGAAAAGACTCGATACCTCTCAAAGTAAATGGCTGAATATCTAAATACTATTACCCGACAGGTCATATGAATTGACACAAGAAGATGACTTGAGACAAAGTTGTACTGTACTT